TATGGGAGTAGAAAGCTTTATCTTTCCCTTCAGAGCTGTGGTGGTTTCAAACTGCTGACCTTGTGGTTAGCAGCCCGGCCTTTGTGACCAGCGCTCCTGGCTACAAACCACAGGAACATTTATTTATTTATTTTCCATCTGTTTGAAATGAGCTTCCCTGTCGCTAGAGACACCAAGTCCACTTCACTTTTCCTTTTCCTCCTTTTCAGCCACTTAGAACAATGTTTAAATCTCAGCGGTAAGGAAGCTGGAGGGTTTTCTTTTTTAATGAAGAAATTTTAATTTAATTTTATTTCCTCTTAAACCCTCCAATTCCCCCTCCCCTCTCCCCCCATTCCTCCTCTCTCCCTTGTCCCGCCCTCGTCTCTGGCCTCCTTGTAGTCATGAAAGTCTTGTGTATTGCTGTATGAACCACATTTCTTCTTTGTTTTTCCTTATAACAATGGTGCTATTAAATATTTATCCTTGTAAGATTGACTGAGTTTACTGTGCATAATGTTCTCTAATTTTGTTCATGTGTTGTGGTATTTAAGAGTTATACTTTTTTTATTGATGCATAAAATTCCATACTATGAATGTACCAAAGCTTGTTTATCCATTTCTCTGTAGTTGGGGTTTTGGTTGTTTCCATATTTTTGCTATTGTGGAAATTGCTGCAATAAACATAGCTGCACATATATCTGTCCATGTTATATTCTTAATTTCTTTAGGGTATATGTCCTGTAGAGACATTGCTGGATCATAAGGTACTTGGATTTGCATTTATTTTACAAAATGGCATGCTGATTTCCATAATGGCTGTACAATTCCACAGCCCCTCTAGCAATATAAAATTGTTCATATATCCCCCCTCCTCTCCAGCAGTAGTTATTTTCTGTTTTATTGAATTTTGCCAAAAGTGTCCATGTGAGGTGATATCTCATGTTGCTTTAATTTGTATTTCTCTTATTGCTAATGATCCCGAACATTTCCTCCTATGATTATTGGTTGCCTGTATGTCTTCTTTGGTAAACTGCCTATTCATGTTTTGTTCCTAGTTTTGGTTGGATTATTTGTGTTTTTATTTTTAAGATGTTGGAGTTTTCTATAGATTTTGGAGATTAGCCATTTGCTTGCTGTATTGTTACTGAATATTTCCCCCAGTCTGTGGCTTCTCTTTGGGCTCTCTGGATGCAGGCTTTTCTGGGCAGCAGTGTTGTGTTTCAGTCGGTCCCAGGTTTAGCTTTGTGCTCTGGAGGGTAGCTTTTTCATTATGTTCAGCAGTGTGTTGCTGCCTTGCATTGGGGTCCTTAGTTTATCCCTGTTTTTCACACTGATGGTCTTAATAATTGTGTGATTTATAGTCAGGTCTTCGATCCACTTTGGGTTTGTTTGTGTACTGTGTGTGAGGTATGGGTCTTGTTCCATTCTTTAGTGGGTGAAGACCCAGTTTTTCCAGTACCATTTGTTGAAAAGGCTGTCTCTTGCCCATTTAATGTGTTTACTTTTTAAGAATATAAAAATAGGTACCTAGAGGCACTTGTTTGCATTTTTGGTTTCCAGCCCTAATCCTTTGGTCGGCATCTCTGTCGTTGTACCAGTATTAGATTCTTTTGCTTTCTGTTGGTTTAAGGTCTGGGAGTGAAAGGCTTCCTACTTTGCTTTTGTTTTTTTAAATGCTTTATTTATCCTAGGAAAAATGCTCTGTTCCTTTTCACATAAGGTTGGTAATTAATTTTCCACTTCCTTGAAAAATTTTGGTGGGATTTGGACTGGAATTGTAAAGTAATTTTGGCAATAGGGACATTTTCACAATATTTAGTCTGCTCATCCAGGAACATGGTAACGTCTTCTATTTGTGTAAGTTCTTTCAGATTTCTCAATGGAGTATTTTGTTTTCTTTGTAAAAATTTTCTTTGTATAAGCCTTTTGTTTTTCTGGTAATATTTATTCCTAAATATTTAATCTTTTATACATTACTGTAAATAGCGTTGTTCTTTTGATATCTTTTTTTGGTATCATTATCCTTAATACTCAAGAATCCAATGGGTTTTCATATGTTGATCTTATAGCTCATTATGTTGCCAAAATTCTCAATTAGCTTGAGCAATTGTTTAATTGAATTTTTAGGGTTTTCTATATATAGCTTTATGTTAATTTCAAATAAAGATACTTGTATTTCTTCTATGCCTGTGTAGATACCTTTCATTTATTTTTGGTGTCTTTTTAATTTTTTTTAATTTTTGATGTCTTATGGCCATCGCTAAAACTTCCAGAACTGCATTAAAGTGGTGATAAAGGAAACCTTGTCTAGTTCCTGTAAAAAGAGGAAATGGTTTAAATTGCTCTCCATTCAGTGAGAGGAAGGCTCTGTGTTTCACATACATTGCTTTTGTTCTTTTCAGAAGCTTTTCTTTCTTTAAAATCGTGTTCCTGGGGCTCGTACAACTCTATCACAATCCACACATACACCCATGTGCCAAGCGGAGAAGCTTTCTTTCTATACCGATTTTGTTTAGTGCTTTAATGAGTAATGCATGTTGAATTTTATCAAATGCCTTTTCTGCATCGATTGCTGAAATCATATAGTTCTTTTCCCTTATTTGATGTGCTGAATTACATTGTTTTTTAATGATAAACCACCTTGCATAATTGTATTAATTCCACTTGATTGAGATATATTATTTTTTGATGTTTAATTGCATTCTGTTGGCTAGTGTTTTATTGAAGATCTTGGCATCTATATTCATTCGAGGTGTTAGTCTGTAATTTTCAATTCTGTTGATGTCTTTGCCTGGTTTAGGTATCAGAGTTATAGTGGCCTCAAAAATGAGTTTGGTAGTATATTATCCATTTGTGTATTGTGGAATAGTTTAAATGAAATTGGTATTAAGTCTTCTCTAAATGTTTCATAGAATTCCCCAGTGAAACCATCTGGACCCGGGCTTTTTGATGTTGGGAGTTTTTCTAGGACTAGATCTCTTTCTTCTCGTGTTATAGGCTTGCTGAGATTTTCTACATCACTCTGTGGTAATTTAGGTAAATAATACATTTCTAGAAATTTATCCATTTCTTCTAGATTTTCAAATTTGTTGGAATCAACTTTTCATAAAATTGTGTAATTTTATATTTTTATATTATTTGGTTCTAGTGAAATACCATTCACTATATTTCCATGGAAACCACTATTAAACAAAAATAAATACACGAAGCTATTTTTTCTCGACATATTGTCCATCTAGGCTATCCACTTCTGAAGTTGTTATTTGTTTCCTTCTCTCTAACCCTTCTCTGAAGAATTCTGTGCTCTTTGACCTATACCATGTCAAAACATTAGTTTTCACATCCTCGAGGCACGTAAATTGGCTTCTGAGTTAGTTAATTGTGCCAACCTGGCTGATAATCACATGTGGGGCTAATTGAAAGGCAGAGGGATAAATGGGTGGTGAGCCTCGCCTTTCTAGTTCTCGGGTCTCTTGCTTTGTGATGGTCGCACCAGGGTGCAGCTGCCTTAGCAGTTCCCTGCTTCAGCTTGCAAGATTGACTTCCTACAAGACATCCCCAAGGAGAAGCCACATGGACCTATCCCGATGCAGCCCTGGATGCTGGAGCATCCGTGTGGAGATCCCTGCTAGTGCTGAGATGCTTATTTGTTCACTGACTCAGCTTTCCTCCTGCAGTCGGCATCATTGCCTCTGTTTTGTGAGGTGGAGGACTTTGTGGACTGGTGTTGGGTTAATGGGTTAATGTTGGACATTGGGTTGGGATGTTTTCGTGATGCACATTTTCTTCACATAAAACTCTTCCTTATACATGAGTTGCTGTGGATTTGTTTCTCCTAAGTCCCCAGACTAACACAGCTTCCTTTGAATTTTTTTTTCTTTTAGTATAGGGCATAAAAAGAAGTCTGTGGAGGCAAAACAGGGCTGTCGATGAAAGTTTCCTAATGCCTTCTCCGAGAATGAACAGGTGAATTGCTGTGATGGAAAGCAATCCCTTGGCACCCTTTTGAAGCTTTGTCTCAGCAATACACTTCTCCATGTTCTGAAAACTTCTTCGTAAACAGCCCTTGCGATTGTCCTGTGTCCTTTGAGGAAAGTCTTATCATGATTTTGGAATAGAAAAAACCAGTCAGCATCATCTTCTGAACTGACCTTTTGCCTTGAGTTTAATGGCCCAGCAATTCCCTTGGATGCCAGTGTTTTGATTGGATTTTTTTTTTAAACACCCCAAGGAGACTAAGACAAGCAGCCATCCGCTGATTTCATAGACGTGTGTATTCACAGTTTGTTTGGAATGAGTCCAGACTCCATGAACTGGAAGCTATACTTTGACCGTCTCTCCTACATGAAAAGGAAAACAACAGACCAGTCTTTCATGGGATGGTTTTAAGAGTTAAACGGAGATGATGTATATCAATTGCCTGCAACAGAAATGATGCTGTTGTCAGAGTTTTTACAAATTGTCTTTCAGGGAAAACATATTGATTAAGCACCTATGATGTGATTGGCAGGAGCCCCTGTCGCACTGTGGGTTATGCGTTGAGTTGCTAACCACAAACTGGTTGCTCAAACCCAACAATCGGTTTCTGGTGCAAGATGAGGCCGTCTACTCTCCTAAAGATTTAGTTTGAAAATCTTGGAGCCATTCTGCACTGTACTGTAGTGTCGATGTGAGTCAGAGTCAATCGATTTGATAGTAGTGGTGGTGGGTGTGTGCTTGACATTAGAACCCAGGTGAGACAGGGTTTAAGCCTTGGGCTGTTGAGCCACAGGCTGATGGTTGGGATCTATGAGCTGCTCCATGTGAGAAACTGTGCAGTGAAGGTTTCCTCTGGTTTCATACTGTCCAGTATATGATAACAGCTCATCTGCTTAGTTAAATAGTAAAAGATCCTCCGTTGAAGACTGGCCGTTGCTTAGAAAAGATGCATTGGTTCTGCACATAGTTGTGATCACTGCTAATATAATCCACTTTGGTAAAAGATAAATGGTAATTTGTCTTTGGTGTTTTTATTTTAGTATCCCAATCCCATGGATAAAAATGTCATCTCTGTGAAAACCGTGGAGGAAAACATTGGTGAGTTCTCCAAGATTGCCCTTCATTCAGTGATGATCATTACACAATACTGATCCTTAAAGAAAAGGTGTGTGTACATGAGGATGTGTGTTTTAGACAGATGTATTTCTGTACTTGAGGTGAGGATAGAAAGGTCTGGCACTTAGGGCCACCAACATTTATACCAATTGAAGAAGACTTGTCACTTACTAAATTAGTAATTGATTATTAATCAACATGTAATTGTAACAGCGAACACTTTCCATGAACTTACATGTGCCAGGACTTCTAACTCTATGAACTCCTTTCATATGTATTATGAAGATATTTTTATTATCTCTAGTGAATGAGGAAGCTGAGGGGCTGAGAGTTTAAATAATTTTTCAAGGTCATATGGCTATTAAGATATGCCATGCATTTATACTCTTTTCTAGATGACAGATGCTGTTAGGTGCCAATGGCTCCGTCTGAGACAGAGGCAGGGGTTCTTCAGTTTCTTCACCATTGGCTTTAGTGTTTGTTATGTAAGTGTGAATAATCGTTGTATGCACTGGCCTGCATTGTAGGCGTGTCGACATTATCCAATCTTACATTGTACTGTAAGGTAGACATTGAATTGTTCTTTTGACAATGAATGAGATTACAGTCCTCTTGAATTTGTCACTCCAGAATAGAAATCATATGATTGTCACACTCAAAAATGGCCAATGTCAGTCACTTTCAACTCGCTAATATCTAGGATATTTATCTGTATACATCCTGTTTCATTTTTGATGATAATCAGTTCTCCTAGATTCATAGTTTGTGCATTCCACATTCTGCTTTGTAAGGGATATTTGCAGCTCCTTCTTCTCTCTTCGAGTTGTGCTCCATCTTTAAATGAAGGCCCCCAAAGCTTTGCTCCATCCATGAAATTAAGGGCGACTCTACTTTGAGGGGTCAGCTCTGTCCCACTCATATTCTGACTGCCTTATAACCTGAGGGGCTCATCATCTGACAGTGTTTAAGATAATGTTCCTCTGTTATTCATAACAATTTCACTTCTTTTAGAAGTGGAAAGCCTATTTCTTCTTCCTAGACCTTCTTAGTCTAAAAGTATCACTGAAACCTGATTACCATGAGAGACTCTGCTTGTATTGGAATTGCTGGTCGCATAGCTTCCAGCGTCACAGGAACCTGCAAGGCACCACAGTAGGAAAAACTGACAGATGCGTGGGGAGATGACAAAATTAATATGATTGATAGTGTGTATAAGAGATGTGAGTATATAATCATTCGAATGGCTTATATGGTTAGTGTCTGGAAACCCACTGCTGAGTGAAGTGGCTCAGTGTGGCCTAGAACAGGTGTTGGCAATCCATGACCCATGTGAACTGTTTTTGTGACTAGAGGTTTATTGACACTCGGCTGCATCCACTTTTTTCCATATTGTCTGTGGCTGTTTTTGCATAACAATGACAAAGTTGAGTGGTTGAGACAGATAATATGACCAGTGAAATCTGAAATACTAACTATCTGACTTTTAAAGAAAATGTCTAAAGGCCCCTGGAAGATAATCCAGGAGTCTCCATTGACCTTTGCCATCCTCATCTTTAGCAGAAGCATCTTCACTGGCAGTACTTGTACTTGAAAACTGGGCAGTACACGAAGTTACAACAGTAAGCGTTGCCGTTTCATGTACAAATCTTGTGAGTCTCCCAGGCCGAGGACTAGTTTACTTATTTTTCAACCTCTGAGAAAACTGGTCCTTAACTGGCTCTGGGTCCCTCTCTGTGCTGGGTGAACACAAACTATGACATGTAAGACTATTTCTTACATGTCTTTAACAGTTCTTATTTTTATTATACTTTTTTCATGGTTTAGCCAGACTTTAATAGACAAAGAGAAGTTGTTTTGTCAATGTGGAAAAGGATAACTGCTATGGTACAAATCATGATGTAACATATGTTATTAAGTATTAAAATGCAGTAAGGCAATTCCTGTTTTAAGACACTTGAAATTACATGTAGTAAATAGATAACTGGCTCCACACCTGGCATATTGCACCCCTACTTTTCTTCTCTAATTATTCTAAGGGACTCAAAAAGTTATTTCAAATATCTGACCAGTAGTTTGTCTCGAAAGAAAAACAACAAGACACCTCGAAGTTCTGCTGACTGCTAACGTATTAATAGCTTACAATGCCAACTTCTGAAAAGGACGTGGGAGACCACCCTCCCCGTGGCTTCCTTTCCCTGCATTTCTGCTCTCCCCGGCTCTCTTGGCCCATTCACAACGGGTCAGCTGAAAGCATCCTCGCTGAGGATAAGTAGATGTGGTCTATATTGTGGAGGCTGCCATGCAAGGCAGGGAGGGGATTCCCAAACCTGACTTTCTTGCAGGCGCGTCTGGGAAATCGTTTTCATGAGTTCCTTCTCCATCTCTATTTCTCAATTTCCTCACATTCCTTCTATGAAAGGTAGAAGCAGTTTTTATTTTTTAAGTGAAAAGAAACCCCGAATTTGCTCATGCGACCACACTCACTGAAGAACCTTATGATACGGCTTCGGCCAGGAGTCATTTCAAGTCCTGGTTTTGTCGCTGCGTATTTCTCAGAGTCTCAGTTTCGTCACCTGCCAAGTGGCAACATCGGATTAATTCTGCTGTAGGTTGTGAAGATCAAACGGAAGAGTCCTGTGCATATTTCAAAGAGATCTAAAAATGCTAATAGTAGTTTTTGCTGTTGACTTCAGGGGTATCTTTGCCTCTGGGAGTGGCCAATCCTTTAATAAATGTGTGCGCACTAGTCCTTGCGGGAGATGGCCAAGGGATGCCTGCGGGGCGAGGAGACACTTCTGAATTTATCAACGCTTCAGAGCTCAGGGTTTGTACCAGGGGAGTAGTTACAAGACCTGAGGCTTTAGGAACCTCTTTATTAGTGTATCTCGATCACTCGTGCATGCTGAAGTTCATTATTTTTTTCTGCCTCCGTTTCCCTTTTTTGTTCCCCAAACCCCAACCAAATTCAGTGCCGTAAAGTCACTTCGAACTCATAGCAGCCCGATAGAACAGGGTAGAACTGCCCCGTGGGTTTCCGAGAGTGTAACTTTACAGGACTAGAATGCCTCGTCTTTCTCCTGCCGAGCAGCTGGTGGTTTTAAACTGCTGCCCGTGTGGTTAGCAGCTCAGTGCATAACCACTATGCCACCAGGGCTCCAGTTTTCTTAACTTAACATTTAGTTCTTGCCTTTTACACGTCTGGTCCCAGGTGGGAAACGCCCTCCGAAAGAGAACGGGCTCAGCTAGAATGCTCTGCTGTTCTATGAGGACGCAAAGTGTGGCCGATATAATTTAGCTGTAGATTTTTTGCAGCTGGAAATAAGTACTTGAAAATGTGTTTGGTGCAGCAGGTGGCAGATTCAGACTCTTCTCGCCGTGTGTGTGTGAAGGCATTCTTCTTCAGAGGTGAGCTGAGGCTGGATGGCCATTGGCTGCTTGAGCACTGACGTTGATAGACCAGAGCAGTGAGTGATGTGCGCTTATTTTATCCTTGCTCTGGGATGTACACTGAGTACATGTGTCATGCTCATTCCTTGCAATAAATATCCTTGGAATGATCTGGCCCAGAAATGTGGGCATGGAAGCAGGTTTGAGGTAAGTGTTTTCTCCTGGAATGCTACCAAAAGAAAACTGAGGTGGACATGAAGACAAGGGTACATATTCTTGATATTTGTTTGGGGGGGGCCACAGTGTAAATAAAACGTTTCTCTTTCTAGATATATCAACAGGGATCATTTACCGGAAGAGGATTGCTGTCTGTCAAAATGTGGTCCCAGAAATTTTGCGGAAGGTAAACTCATTTCAGAATTTAACCAGATTGGGGATGACACTGGGTGATTTTGAAGTCCCCCTTACAAGAGAGCATTTTATGATGTGAAAGAACGTGGGAGCGTCCCAGGCCTTGTACCTCACCGTCCTCTGCAGCAAGGAGGCTCTCACACCTCACCCTCAGTTTGGGCAGACTCCAGGACCAACCCTGGAGTTTCCTCTCTTTGTGTTTCCCCGGTGATGGGAGGTGCTCTTAGAGAACATAGAGATGGCCTCTAGTTATCTTAAAGATATGCTGTGCTTTTTGTATGAGGCGATTTTTTTAACCTGTCCAAAATGAGAAATAGCTTTTAGATAAGAATGATTAGAATTGGGCATATTGTAACTCTTTAGTCTAATCTTTAATAAGAAGGCTTCAGATTCCACTTCGCTGTCAGGGATGACAGACAGGGTATTTCAGGGAGGGCCTGTGCTCTCTGCCAGACTTTCTGTATGTTTCTATAAAGTCAGCGTTGATGACAGAAGTCTTTGTGATAGCCAATGTTTTCTCTCTTTGAACCCTACAAGCCCTCTGGTGATAGTTCATTGGAAAAAGGTATGTGGGAATTTTAATGGCACTTCTTGAACCATCGAAGGCTTGTGCAGGGAAGTGATTTTAGAGTGATGAGGAAGTAAGGGCCGAACTTCTTGACATGCCCCCTTTAAAACAGCCCAGCCTGTCCTTCCAAGCCGGAAGTGGTTTGTGTGTGATGCAGAGCCCAGCTTGGCGCCTGCAATCGGCTTACCTGTTACATTGCTGTACTGCCTATGGAATCAATGTTGGCTTCCCTCGCTTCCTCGTCATAGATTAAATGACTCCATCACTTCATCCATGAGAAGAAATCAGGAATGAAAAGGAAAATGATCTTTAAAAAATGTTTAGATGGTAAAATGGAGAGAATTATTACTGGCTTTTCCCACAGTGTGTGTACCTTGCTTTTACCCTATATATGTGCTTTGGATCTATTATTTCAAGAGGCATTCAACTTTGTCTTGTATCTCAAGTCTTAAACAATGTAAAGCTACTTCTGACTTGTACAGTTCTTCCTTTGTAATTTTCCATGTCTCCTCCACCTGGAAACACATACATTTCTCAGTATTGGACAGAGTTTTAAAGGAAGAAAATATTTTACCTGATAATGTCCTGCATGTGACTGCTCATAAGTGGGCCCGTTTAGAATCCATCAATTTAAGAAGGCCATAACCAGCCCGAGAGGAGGCGTGAAGGAGGCTGATACTTTACTTAGTGTTTAGCAGTTAGGGAAATCAGGCCAGGGACTCTACAGCTTGCATAAATTCTGGGCCATTTGCATGTCCTCACCAGCTGTTAGGAAGGTCACAGTGTATTTGATGATCAAGGCTTGTAGTCATTGCTGAGCTACCATTTGTCTATCAGGGTCCCTTGTCCTCTTAATTTTCCAAGACCGGAAGCCATCCGGATGCAGTCCTGTAGGGAACCTGCTCTTCCTAAATTGAGAAAGCTCTCCTCCCTCTGTTGGACAGGTGAACATTTTAAAGATACCTGATATCCAGTTAGAAGAGGAATCATGGCTCAATCTTCAGGAAAGAAGCATGGCGATACAGAGTCACTGTCTTACCTGGACACAGTATGCATCTATGAAGGAAGAGTCTGTTTTTCGGGAAAGTGTGGAAAATCCAAATTGGTAAGAGTACACACACACATGTGTGTGTTGGATTAGGGATGCACACATGAGCCACACAGTTTAAAGAACTATGATTCTATGCTCAACATCTGCTTAACTCAGGGACACTTTAAACTTTTTAATTTAATTAATTAATTTGTTGGTACAATTCATTGACATGTTCAACCATTGCTGTGATCTATTTCCATATTTCCCCCTCACCTTTAAAAGCTCAGTGTCCCCTAAGCAGTGTAAACTCAGAGATTCTTTGTTATAAAAGCTTATGTATATAAATATATACAAATTGATTTTTAATCACACATTTTTAATGAACATATTTCTCTTTTGGGGAAAATAGCTCAACTCCTCTTTGACCAACCTGAGATACACAGA